TTTTGTCTGCTTTGTTCACTGATGTACCTTGGTGTCTAGAACACCTCAATAATACTTAAACAGGTGAATTTATTCTAAATACACATCAAACCAAACTACTGACCAAAAAATTTTTCTCTTGCTATCTCAGTATGAGAATCCTGTGTCTCCTTCTATCTATTATATGCTGTCACACAGATATTATCACATAAAATTAGTCATTGTATGCTGATCAAGAGATAACAAACATACTGCTGCACCTACTTTGGCTGATAGCAGTTTCTGGAGATCTAAACCTAATCTCTCCCCTTAGTCTTATGTGTCTAAGGGGAGAGATTATATTATAGCTCTAATATAATGATAAGTAAAGATGATTCTATGAAGTGTTAGATGAATATATAAGTTTTAATATTGGAGCCCAATGATAATACCTAAGTGATCTTTATAAAACATAAAACTGATAATGTCACCTCACTATTTAAAGTTATTCAGCAGCTCTCCCAGTGCCACTTATCTAGTAGGAGTCAGAATTCCTGAATCTGAATCCTTCTCTGCTGCTTACTAGTTGTGTGACCTTGAGAAGGTTACTTCATCTTCCCAAACTTCAGTTTGATTTTTGTAAAAGAGCACTACCAATACCTCAGAGGGTTGTTTTAATACCTCAGAAGGTTGTTTTAAGGATTAAATTAGATAATACATGCAAAACATCAAGTAAGCAACTTTAAGCTTTATAACTGTTCTAGGTAGAGGAGGAAGTTCAAAGTCCTTACTATGCTAAATAAGCTCTTCTTAAACTTCTGCGACATTTGCCTTGCCCACACAAATGACGACATCTTCCTGGTCTATATCAACTTGCCAGACAGATTCCTAGCAACTGCCAGACAACTTTCTCTATTGTTATGATTCTCTCTGCCAAGAACTTTTGTTCTACAAAGTTTGAGGTTGTACCTTTGACAAATCATTGATAATCAGGTGTTCTCCACCAAACCTGCACTCTTGAAGAAGTATCCCCTCCCCTAACTTTTGGGGTCTAGCTCAAGCATCACACTTTCTTCTTCACACTTTCTTCTCTGAGAGACCATTCCGCTCAACCTCCAAGCTTAATTTGCCATTCACTACCTTTTCCCACAGTGTACTCTGGTTAATTCTAGAAAATCTTCTTCAATTAAAGTATATCTTTTTTTTCCTCTCTCTCTCTCTCTTTTCTTTTTTTTTTGAGATGGAGTCTCATTCTGTTGTCTAGGCTGGAGTGAAATGACACATCTCGGCTCATTGCAACCTCCTGGGCTTCACCATGTTGGCCAGGCTGGTCTTGAACTCTTGACCTCATGTGATCCACCATGCCCAGCCAAAGTATATATTTTCTAAGAACAGGGCCTGGGTCTCTCATCTATGAATATCCCAAGGAACCTACAATGTCTGGCACAATGCAGGAAGCTCAATAGTATTACTTGTAATGAATGTTTAATCCACTTGGTGTTTTTTAAACTTCTCACTAGAAATAATATAAAGAGGGAAGAGAAAATTTCCTCAGAATAGGCCCCAAAACAACCAAGTTCAAAAATAAAATTTCTTAAATTTTTGTCAGGTTTTATGTTTTTTTCCCTTAAGACTCATGGAGAAATTTCCATTATATTCCAGGACAGGTCTGCATTCATTTTAACATAGAATACCAACACCCTCCCAACTAAGTTAATTATTACTAGAGGAACATGCCTAAGAATATAGGAACATAGGAATAGAAGTAAGGTGCTGGCAGCACTAGAGAGATGTAAATCATGTGTAAATCATCAGATGAAGGAGAAGTACCTGCACCCTACTAACGAAAAATGTGCAGCTTAAACTAGCAGGAGAAACTTGTGGAAATATCTGTTCCCCAAAGAAAGAAACAGAAATTGGAATGAATAGAACAAGAGCATGAAAAGATATTTTAGGTAAACTCTAGAATTCACAAAGAAAATGTTCTCAAAATATGTATACGAACTGAGCTTTAGAGAATAAATGTGTCAGACTTTATTGAGGCAATACAAAGATAAAGGAGTTTCACCAATATCTAAACGTAAAGAGAAACCACATTTGCTGAAGTAGGTAACAGGAACATGGATATTTGTCTTATGTTAAGAGAGAATATGATCTGAAACAGATCTTCTATCCATTTAACTTCTTTGCAGGGTTCTCTAGAACTTTTTCATATACTTTCTCTCCTTCATTTTTAAAGATATCAGCACACTGCTTCTGAGGCTCAGTTTGGTACAGTTCCAAAGAGCTAAAATCTTTCTGATACACAGAAAGGTTTTCATCTGAAATTTTCTGTTTTTAAAGGTTATGAAAATGTCTCTAGGCTCCAAAGCAACAACACTAGAAAAACTGATTTTAATATACTACTAATCTAGGAGAAGAAAAAGCCCATTAATTCAGAATTTTGATATGCTTTTAAAAAGTCAACTTACTACCTTTTAAAATTAAAGTTCTTCAGATTAAATAGCCTACAGGAGAAATATTTTGAAATATATTCTAATTTAAGGGATGACAAACTTCTTCAGTAAAGGGTCAGAAGGTAAATATTTAGGTTTTGCATGCTAAGAGGCAAAACCCAGAATAAAATATGTAGGTCTCTGTTGGAACTACTTAATTCTGCTATTGCAACAGATTTTCATCGTCTTCAAATGTTACTGTTATTTGATTTCGTTTTCTCCAACCATTTTAAAAATGTAAAACCATCCTTGGCTTATGGGATACCCAAAAATAGATGGCAGGCCAGATACGGCCATGGGCCATAGTTTGCCAACCCCTATTCTAGTCTAAGATAGACATTAAAAGTTAACAACTCTACTGATGGTATTATTAAAAAATTCAATCCTATTTTCAATGAAGAATACACAAAAATAAATGGAAAGGAGGACTAAAACTGTATGCACAGTGTGAATCTAGTATTTGGGTGGAAGTATGTGTTTATGTATGTGTGCATGTACATATGTGCATGCAAATGTATCTATTCACATACATGGCATAAAAAACCCCAAAGGAATGATAAAAAAAAATGTTAATAAAATTAGTCAGGTGTGATGGCACCTGTAGTCCTAGCTACTTGGGAGGTTGAGGTGGGAGGATCACCTGAGCCCAGGATTTTGAGGCTGCGGTGAGCCATAACTGTGCCACTGCCTCTAGCCTGGGTGACAGACTGAGAACCTGTCTCAAAAAAAAAAAGAAAAAGAAAAAGAAAACTAAACAGAATAAGACAAAAATATTAACAATAAAATAAATGACTTTACTTTTTTTCTTTTAAGATGAAGTTTTTCACTCTTGCTGCCCAGGTTGGAGTGCAATGGTGTGATCTCAGCTCATCGCAACCTCCACCTCCCAGGTTCAAGTGATTCTCCTGCCTCAGCCTCCCAAGTAGCTGGGATTACAGGCATGTGCCACCATGCCTGGCTAATTTTGTACTTTTAGTAGAGATGGGGTTTCTTCATGTTGGTCAGGCTGGTCTCGAACTCCCAACCTCAGGTGATCTGCCCACCTCAGCCTCCTAAAGTGTTGGGATTACAGGCACGAGCCACTGTGCCCGGCCTACTTTCTCTTTTTATAAATGGTTTTATTGCTCAAATCTCCTATAATAAGTATATAATACTTTTAAAAATAGAAAAATGTTAAAACAGCAACAACAAAATATCCTGAATTTTTATCTGAATTTATGATTTAAAATACAGTCATGTGTGCCTATATTCCCACCTACTTGAGAGGCTGAGGCAGGAAGATCACTTGAGCCCAAGCATTCAAGACCAGAGTGGGCAACATGGCAAGACACCATCTCTTAAAAATAAAACAAATAAATAAAATAAAAATAAAGTCATGCTTTGTTTAATGATGGGGTATGTTCTGAGAAATGTCATTGTGTGAACATCACAGAGTGTACTTAACACAAACCTAAACGGTATAGCCTACTACACACCTAGGATTGCTCCTGAGCTACAAATCTGTACAGCATGTTACTGTTCCAAATATTATAGGCAACTGTAACACAAATGGCATTTGCATATATAAACATAGAAAAGGTACAGTAAATGTTCTGTTAGTTTCTGCCAGGAAAAAAAAAAAGGTTACAGTAAAAACACTATATACATATTTAAAATGGTACACCTATGTAGGGTACTTACCATGAAAGATTGGAAATTGCTTGGAAGATTGGAAATTGCACTGGGTGAGTCAGTGACTGTGAGTGGTGAGTGAATGTAGAGGCCTAGGACATTACTATACACTACCGTAGACTTCATAAACACTGTACACTTAGGTTGTACTCTATGTAAAAATTTTTCTTTCTTCAATAATAAATTAACCTTAGTTTACTGTAAATTTTTACTTCATAAACTTTAACTTTTGTAGTAACAGCATAAAATACATTATACAGCTGTATAAAAATATTTTCTTTATAATCTGTAAGCTTTTTTCTATTTTTAAATTAAAAAAAATTTTTTTAAACTTTTTAGCTAAAAACAAAGACACAAATACACACATTAACCTGAGCATACATAGGATCAAGATCATCAACATCACTGTCTTCTGCCTCTACATTTTGTGTTACTGGAAGATCTTTAGAGACAATAATACACATGGGGCTGTCATCTTCTTATGGTAACAATGCTTTCTTCTGGAATGCCTCCTAAAGGACCTGTGTGAACCTCTTTTACAGTTAACTTTTTAAAATTAGTGTAAGGGGCATACTTGAAAATAACAGTAAAAAGTATAGTAATTACATAAACCAGTGACATAGTTATCACCATTTATCAAGTATTAATATATTTATATAACTACATGCTATACTTTTACATGACTTGCAGTGCAGAGAGTCTGCTTGCACCAGCATCACCAAAAACCTGAGTAAATGCTTGGTTACAAGCTACCAAGTCACCAAGCATAGAAATTGTTCAGCTCCATTATCATCATAGGGGACCACCATTGTATGCAGTCCGTTGTTCACCAAAACATTGTTGTATGGCACATGACTGTACTAAATGCACACATACCTTTGAGGGTTCGCACCTGGTTCTGCTTGAGTACAGAGCTTAAATAGTGAGGTGATAAAGAACCACTGAAAAACAAAAAAGTAAACATGCTTAAAAAATTTTTATTTTACTTTCTTCCCCTAATTTTTGACAGGTTCTCACTCTGTCACCCAGGCTGGAGTGCAGTGGCATGATTTCAGCCCACTGCAGCCTTGACTTACTGAGCTCAGGTGATCCTCCCACCTTAGCCTCCTTAATAGCTGGTACCACAAGCATATGCCACCATGTCTGGCTAATTCTTGTATTTTTTTGGTAGAGAAGGGGTTTTACTATGTTAAAAAAAAAAAAAAAAAAAAGGGCGGGTGGTTTGCCCAAGCTGGTCTCAAACTCCTGGGCTCAACTGGTCTGCCCACCTTGGCTTCCTAAAGTGCTGGGATTACAGGGATGAGCCATTTGTGCTCAGCTATTTCACTTTTTATAGAACTTAGTCACAAATACAGCTAATTTGTACCATAAAAAACAAACTATTTTTACCTTGTTTTCTTTGCTAATACTACTGAGTTTAGAAAGTCTGCCAAAGCAGAAAGAGTATAGGAGCCAAAATTAAATCACAACTATTTGGATGTTCTTAGGCAAAATAATTAATCTCTTAGTTTTTTCATCTGTAAAATAGAAATAATTAAATCTCCCACATAGGCTATTGTGATAATTACATAACAATAATGCATTAAAGGGCTGGGCACAGTGGCTCATGGCTGTAATTCCAGCACTTTGGGAGGCAGAGGTGGGCAGATCACGAGGTCAGGAGTTCGAGACCAGACTGACCAACATGGTGAAACACCATCTCTACCAAAAATACAAAAATTAGCCGGGCGTAGTGGCACATGCCTGTAATCCCAGCTACTCAGGAAGCTGAGGCAGGAGAATCGCTTGAGCCCAGGAGGCAGAGGTTGCAGTGAGCTGAGATCAAGCCACTGCACTCCACCCTGGGTAACAGAGTGAGACTCCTGTCTTAAAAAAAAAAAGAAAAAAAATAATACTGCATTAAAAACGCCTGGAACAATAGATAATATATGATAGTTACTATTTGTTTTGTATTGGATGCTTAAGTTTGATATAATACTAATATAGGTATTACCACAGAAATAAAAGCATTTACCAGAACACATGGTTAAGGAACACTTGGTAATGACAGCAAACAGATATCTTCCTGATTTTATAAATAAATATCAAATTAAACTTTCTATATTCATGGAAACACATCAACAGTTCTTTTAATCCAGAAATTAAAACATTTTTGGGAAAAACTACTCTTTGGAATTTATGATAGTATAAAAAAATCTATTTGTTAATTAACTTCAACATTAGTTATTAAACATATCAACTCCCAAATAAGGATATAAAATCTGGTAACTTCTTTTCTAGGTTTCAATTCATAAAGATAAACCACACAGTTATTGTTTTTATAATGATCCATCTAATCTACAAACATGGTAAAGATGCTTAAAATCATAGTGACTGAACAGATTACCAATATTTCAACTTTAGTCTTCCCAGCTGTTTACTGTATTCCAGCTACAACCACTCCCTCTACAAGTTATCTAATAATACTTTAAGAATTCAAATTGGCCACTATATGAAACATTGACGACTGTTGCAGCTGGGAGTTCATTATAACTTTCTCTCCACTTTTTTGCATAGGTTTAAATATTTCCATTAATTACTTTATTAAAAATCTTTTAAAATTTTTCAAAACATTAGTTAGCAATTATAAACTACCCTTAAAAGTATTTTAACCAAATCTGGGATTTTCAATTCAAATGAAGGTATATAATAAATTGAAGAAGACTCTAAAGTCTTCTTTAGAAAAAGGAAACAAAAACCAGATTTAAGAAGGTCATTATTTTCAGATTTAACTTAAAATGAGGAAGCTAGAAGACCAATAGGGGTTGGTTACTGGGTTTGAAAACAAAGCCAAAGAAAATTATAAGCAAATACAGTACAATTATATTTACCAGAAAAAAATAAAAACAAACTTCAAAGCATTATTTTACTTGCCAAACATTTAAAAATTTTAGATTTGAACATACTTTACAAATATTATAAGTACTAAAAAAAATTAATATTGCAGACAATTAAAAAAATCTAACCTGTTTGTAACTGAAATCATATTACAACTTTCTTTAGGGATTACTTATACATATTCAGTACTGACTATATTTCCCAGAATGTACGTTCTCAACCAACCAATTTCCTGTTTTCTAGAAACACAAAGTAGACCTTAAGGAAAACTTCCTTAGGTTAATGTCTTATCCATAAATACTTCTTAAGAAAGAAAAAAATGTGAACACAGTGGCTCACGCCTGTAATCCCAGCACTTTGGGAAGCAAAGGTGGGAGGATCACTTGAGGTCAAGAATTACAGACCAGCCAGGCCAACATGGTGAAACCCTGTCTCTACTAAAAAGACAAAAATTAGCTGAGAGTGGTGGTGCGTGCCTGTAGTCCCAGCTACTAGGGAGGCTGAGGCAGAAGGATCACCTGAACCTGGAAGACGGAGGTTGCAGTGAGCTGAGATCTCGCTACTGCACTCCAGCCTGTGTGACAGAGTAAAACTCTGTCTCAAAAACAAACAAACCCAAAAAACTACATAAAACATAAATACTTCTTCATATAATAAAAAACAAAACCAAAATACCCTGGATGTTTAAATTTATTCATCTCACACAATGAAATCCTATAAATCACCACCAACAGTTATATGGAAGATCCTTACTTCTGTGGAGATGCTGAAGAAAAAGGCTGCTTCTTCAGTGCCTGTATAAGATTGGGTTTATATTCCGGATCAACACACCATAAGGAACCTTTTCCATTAACCTAGAATAAAATGCACAAGAATTACTAACTAGGAACTTTTATACATAGACAGTGTCTAAATGGTTTTAATAAACGTACGGGTAGAGGGAGGGAAATAATCTCTGGTACCTTTTGAGTATGAAACTAAGGTTGAAGTGTGCATTGTAGTCACTAAAAGTCACCCTATGATGTACAAAACTTCCTCTAACTTACAAGATTAGTGAGGTTCAAATGTTATTAGTTTCTGGTTTTCTATTATGCCTTTTCTATTTCAAAAACTCTTTCATAAAATTTCAATTACCTTTACAACTACATTAACAATTATTTAGATAAAAACAAAATTATAGCAGAATGGCAAAATGAAAGACTTCTCATTTACATTTTACCCTTAAAGTAAAACAATGCAGGTCACTTCACTGAATTGTAATGAGATTCAAATAAGTTGATTTATATGCAAGTGACAGATAGCTGCAAAATAGGTGACTATTAAGGGGCCATTCTGAAACTGGCATACATAAGGGTTAAATAATAGTATATTCCTACTCTTTTTTTACTTTCTGCAGAGAAGAGAATTTTGAAAAAAAAATCAACAAGAACAAAAATAAATTAATTCTGAATAAAAGGCAAAAGTTAGGTGGTAAAAAACAAGGGATACAATAAATTTAGGACAGAATAAAACCTTTTTGCTGTGAAAAGGTATAGCAATTGACTGTAAGGCAGTTTTTCACTATGCTAGTAATGTATAAATAGAAAAACCACAGGTGTCATATCACACTGTCATAAAGAAAGAAATGCACCGGATTATCAGGAGAAACATTTTTTCTGGTATTCAGCAGCAAGATATCACATTAACCATACTAAACAAGTATTTGACATTTTCTTTTTTTTTTTTTTTTCCAAGAAAGACAAGTTTTACAAATGTATTTTTGGATTAAATGATAAAACTTCTTAACTTAGCTATATGTTCAGTCACCTGCTCCAAATGATACATGTGTTTTGATGTCAGGGAAAAAAAATGTTAGCACCAGGCCAGGTGTGGTGGCTCAAGTCTGTAATCCTAGCACTTTGGGAAGCTGAGGCAGGCGATTGCTTGTGCTCAGGAGTTCAAGACCAGCATGAGCAACATAGCAAAACTCTGTCTCTACAAAAATACAAAAAATACCAGGTGTGGTGGTGCACGCCTGTAGTCTCAGCTACTCAGGGGGCTGAGGCCAGCCTAGGTGACAGTGAAACCTTGTCTCAAGAAAAAAAAAAAGAATTAAAATGTTAGCGCCCACAACATCTTTTGCCCCAAAGCCAATTCAATCTCATATAGAAAAGATATGCATGCATTACTTTTCAGACACAGACCAAGACAATTATTTTAATAATGCTAGCCATATTCTACCTTGGTAGAATTACACTTGAGAATCTCCAACAACTTCTTGGAGATTACACTCCGAGAAATTGTTTAGTTTAAGTCTACTTTTCAAATTCTGTTGTGAGGGGACTGAAAATTGTTTTGATCACAGTAGAGTTGCTATTTCTTTGAAATAGCAAATTGGAAGAATTGGTATTGAAAACTTGCAGTTTCAGGGCAGTTAAGCATCTTGAGTATGGTCTCAAATAACAGTCTGGTTTATGTTACCATGGCAGCACTTCCTTTCACTGTGTCTGTTCATGAACTATCAAGAACAAGAGATAAAACCTCTGTACTTGCTAATCTACATTTTAGAGTCTACAGCAAAAAGAAATTTATTTTAAACTAATTTTCCACTTAAAACCTTTGCTCCTATATTATTGGGCTTAGAGGACAGAATACAAATAATAAAAAGTTTTAGAAGTACTGTTCAAAACTAAATTTGCTTGAAACAAAATAGTCTTCTGTGCAATGGAAACAGGAAATAAGCATTCTCTCATTTTACTATTTTGCATTTTTAGAATTCTAAGGCTCCTGAACTTACTTGGTAGAGAACTGCTAAAGGTTTTGAAGAAATTATGAATATACTAAAAGGTGAACTTTAAAAAGACTTATCTTAACAGAAGTTGTAAAGACTAGATTGGGAGAAAAGGCAAAGTTCATTATTCCTAAGATGTTTTTATGTACTTGTGCCGTATATTTTAATACAGTTGCTCATGTTGTCTAATCCCAAAAAAGAAGGCAAAATGGCAAAGCCTAGATAACACTATAAAGTGGTAATGATTTTCAGTGGCTTTTAGAACCTCTGAGTTAAAAATAATTTAACTGATTAAAATTTTACCACACTAAAAAAAAATTTAATTCCATGTTTCCCAGCTAAAATCTCACAGTAATAATGTTTAAGTTGGGCTTTATAAAAAATTAGAAAAGTACATACAAGACTTGGATGTTAACTTTTTTTTTTTTTTTTTGAGACAGAGTCTTGCTCTGTCACCTAGGCTGGAGTGCAGTGGCGCAATCTCAGCTCGCTGCAACCTCCACCTCCCAGGTTCAAGCAATTCTCTTGCTTCAGCCTCAAAGGCAGCTGGGATTACAGGTGCGCACCACCATGCCAGGTTAATTTTTGTATTTTTAGTAGAGACGGGGTTTCACCATGTTGGTCAAGCTGATCTCGAACTCCTGACTCCAAGTAATCTACCCACCTCAGCCTCCCAAAGTGCTGGGATTACAGGAGTGAGCCACCACACCAGGCCAATATTTTTTATTTTTATTTTTGTTTTTTAAATCTGAGACAGAGTCTTGCTCTGTCACCCAGGCTGGAATGCAGTGGCACGATCTTGGCTCACTGCAACCTCTACCCCTGGGTTCAAGCAATTCTCATGTCTCAGCCTCCAAGAATGCTAGAATTATAGGTGTGTACCATTGTGCCCAGACAGATGTTGACATTTAAAACATAAAACCTGGCCGGGCGCGGTGGCTCAAGCCTGTAATTCCAGCACTTTGGGAGGCCGAGGCGGGTGGATCACGAGGTCAAGAGATCGAGACCATACTGGTCAACAAGGTGAAACCTCGTCTCTACTAAAAATACAAAAATTAGCTGGGCACGATGGTGCGTGCCTGTAGTCCCAGCTACTTGGGAGGCTGAGGCAGGAGAATTGCTTGAACCCAGGAGGCGGAGGTTGCGGTGAGCCGAGATCGTGCCATTGCACTCCAGTCTGGGCAACAACAGCGAAACTCCGTCTCAAAAAAAAAAAAACCATAAAACCCAAACCAAAGCAATCTGAACCAAAACAAAAGACAACCATATGTAACTTTAATAGATTTAAAATCCAGAGACAAATAAATACCAAACCAGGGTTGTTAGAGCTGTCTTTTCAGAGTAGTAAAAATGGTACAGATGATAGGGAGAAAAAAATCTAATCAGCAGCTATATCAGCTGGCTGAGTATCATTACCATTTCATAGTTTGATCTAGACCTTGCCATTCTGCCTTCTATTGGGATTATTGTCTCTAGATAACAGCCATTCATCAGAAAAGTGTTTCAAGGTTGCCATATCCAATTCTAACATTTAATGCAACTAAGTATAATTTCTTTAACTTCCACAGATTGGAAGGAATATACTGTCATTCTGTCATTGACCCAAGAAAGGTTTCATAAATTAAAAAAAAAAAAAAATTCACATGCATTCCCAAATCTATTGAACGTATCTCTTTCTGTCTAAATTTCATTTAGGCAAAATAGTCTACTGATTTTTATGAAGATGATTTACAAGTTCCTTCTCTCCCACCCTGACTTGTGGTGATAGCTTGCTAATTTTTATGCCAATATAATAGAATTTCTATATTTATTCTTATTTATTATAAGATGATTTCCCTCTTTTTCTTCATCAAATTCTACCTGTACTCTGGACTGCATCCTTGCCCATTCTCTAGCTCTTACTTCCTTAATTCCTTCCTTTCCCTGAACATATAAAACACTCAGGTTAATTACATTAAAAATGTATATATTTAAAAATTATGGACATGACCAATTCCCTTTTGAGCACTACCACAAATCATACCACTGAACATGTAATTTTGTATCTTTTACTAAAAATAAAACCAACGTGAATATTTTTATACACATCTTCTTGTGTGCAAGTATGGATGCTACTCTACGGGAGATATCAGTATATGATCTGCTAGGTCAAAGGACATGCACATTTCTAATTCTAATAACTACTGCCAGGGTACCCTAAAGAATGGTCATACTAATATACTCCTGTCAAATGATGTGAAACTATCAATATTTAATCATGTTCTCATCTGATTTATTATCAAATATTTAAAATTTTTGAATTCTAATAGATAAAAATGTTTTTTTTTGTTCTTTTAATTTGTATGTTCCATATACACAGTACTAGTAAGATGAATATCTTTATGTTTATTGCCCATTTGTATTTCCTCTTTTGTGGACTGCCTATTCATATACTTGCCCATTTTTCTATTAGATTCTCATTTTCTTATTGAATTATGAATTTCTTCTACATAGCAGTATACCGTTGATTGTAAACATCTCTTCTCAACTCCACATTTAATGACATGATGTCGGTAGCTTGAAATTGGCCATGATGGAAATATTTATAGCATGGAAATCTGCAAAAGCTAAACAGCCCATCCCTAGCCAGTTGTTAAACATTTATCAGCACAGCACTTATTATATATTCTGAATGCTAATCTTTTGGCTGCTACTTTCTCATCGACTTCTTAGCCAGTCATTTTCAAGAGTTCCACAACATTTGACACTGTTGGCCAGTCACATTTAAACTTAGCTTCCTTGGCTTCATTACACCACACTTTTCCTAGATTCATCCACTCAGAAGTGATGCTGATCAATTCCAAACTTAGAGCTTTAATCTCACTGCATCACCTCTATTCCTGTCTATATTTCTAAATACCTACTAGATTTTTATGTACCATCGTAAGTATAAACACAATAGTTCTAAAAGTATAAAAGAATTAAGTGACACAATTCAAGAATAAAATCAAATGATGAACCTTGGAAATTACATATTCAAAATTCCCAACACTAAAAAAAAATTCACATGAACTTCCAACCTCCTCCCTATTTCCAATTCCCTCA